CCTAAACTCACCAACACCAATCGCAGCTGCTAAATTTTTCCAAACAATTTTTGTTGAATAAACCATTTTCCCATTTGCAGTGAAAAAGACTTCTTTTGTCGCTGCTTGATATCCACAACCAACAGTATTTTCCTCGCCAACTTTAAGAGAGTAACATACACCAGTCGAGGTGTTAGACCCCCCACTTTCAAAAAAGATTTTACCATCATCACCATGGTACCCAATACTACCCTTACACCACCCAACTTGTCTATTTAGAAAAGCGGTGTATCTGTCCTCATCTATCAAACCAAAAGACATCAAAGAAAATCCAACAACGTGGAGTTCAAAATAACGGACGTTTTGAAGCATAATGATACTTTCCTTGTACTTCCAAAGGGTATCAAAATTGTTGTTTTTCTCAGAGAAGAAGTTGGAGGAAATTAACATATCATAGTGAGAATCATTTGGTAGAGAACATGTTCTGAATAATGAGTTGTTGCGAAACTCGACTCGACAAGACTTGCTCATAAAATTGGACATCTCAAAGACGGGAACCTTTCTTTGAACACCAAAATAAATTTCAGTTGGAAAGATTGTTTGTGTGGGTGGCAATTCTTTTTTCTTCATTTTGAGAAGCTCCTCCTTTCGTAATAAAAATTTTGTGTTGCACAGTTTGATTGACTTTTCCTTTTGTTTCTCTTCAAGAGATATGAGTCGGTCTAATATATAATTATAAGGAGTACTTTCAGTCGTTTCAGAAAAATCGCAATCATTTTGGAGTTGATAAAGAGAAGGAAGAATGCCATTCATTGTTTCAAGCGTTGTGATGAGGGTGGATTGAAGCAAATTTCTTCGTTCAAAAATTTCGTCGACGCGATCAAGGATCCCTTCAGTTTTTGTTATTTGAACCGAAAGGTCATCTGTGTCAGAAAAATCTAAGTTGGCGTCGACTATAAATTTAGTGTAGTTCGTAACAGCGGTTTTTAACGTTGTAAATTGAGAAATTGATTCAGCAAGCTTTTTAACAACATCATTGTAAAAGCTAATTGTTAAAAATACCATTGAATAAATATTGTCAGTTCTATTTTTTATAAAAAGTCCCAAAGTTTAATGAGTTTAATAATATGTATTGATAAATATATATCAAGCATATATTGATTAACTCATATTGAGTTGAGTTAGTACTTGAGTGATTTATATTATTTGTATATTATTAAAAACAACAAAATATAACAAAGATACTTAATTAATTTATCGTTACGATTATATTTGATTATAAACATTTTAAAGACTTAATAATACGTTCACAACAATCAGTTTGTGCCGCACAAACTGATATGTTTTTATTTATTTAATTCAGTTTCATTTCTTTAATTTTAAAACCATCGAACCTTATACATTTACACGACTTTCATCGATTGCAATATACTTTAAATTTTCGCGATACTACTCCCAAGTATCTTCGTGTTATGCTTCAAAAAATAAGCTGAAAGTAAATGCAAAAATCATGATAAAAGAGCGAATTATACAATTTATGTGTGAAGTTCATATTTCATTCAACATAATATGACTAAAAGTTAATGCATTTTCGACTCGAAGGAAATTCTATTGTAAAGAGCAAAATCGATGTTCTGGACCAGTTTTTTTTCATAAAAGAATTATCTTAACATTTTTTTGCCGGTTTTTGTTTGAAAAACTGAGTTGTTCTACTTTAGTTATTGCTTATTATATTACTAAAGAATAGTAGTATAATTTAATTAATAAGTAATAATTCTATTAACAAGAGAAAAACAGGAAAAAACTGGTAAACACGTGGCTGAATGTAGATCAGAAACAAAAATAGATAATTGATGATGATGAATAAAAAATATACAATATATTTATAATATATTTGTGACATAACCAACTCTGTACTAGATATGCGGCATTGTACGTATTTTGGTAACATTTAAATACATTGAGTGTGAAATAGAATATAAAATATCGTCCGAAGGAAAATAAAAACAAGGATGCTGTTTAAAGACCATTTGACTTATTTAAATACATTTTAACAAAATTTGGAAGATGGTAAACAATGGCAGAAAAAAGAAATTTTTGTAAAAACTTTGATAAGCAAAACATGCCATCAAAGAAGGAAGAAATTGCTTCGCAACTCGCCGACCTGACGGCACGCATCGTGCAGATTGAGTCAAGTATTTCACTGATATCTTCACGGATGATTCAGAACGAATTGGTCCAAAAGGACTTGCAACACCAAATCACGGATGTCACAACTACTATGGCAAATTTAGTGCAACCAGTCAAATCGCCAATCCCAAAGCAGTCGTATCAGCCTTTTTTAGACGATTTGAAGCGATTCACTGAGAAAGAGACGTGCACTGTCATCTACGACTCGAACAAAGACGGGATGACATCTAGGGTTTTGAACAAATGCATCCAAAACAAGCAAAGTGTTATGTTAATAATAAAAACCACAAATAACTACATATTTGGGAGTTACACAGGTGCGTTTATTCCTCAAGCGGAGGAAACTGGATATGGGAGTTATATAAC